TTCTTGCTAAGGAGGTTTGAGTTTCTGCCTAACCGTAGTTAACTCCTTATATCCTATCATTCAATGCATATGCAAAATGATATCAAGTGATTTTAAAAAGATGGTGTATGGGGATGAATTCAAGGTAATGAGAGCTTTCAGGGGACAGACTTGTACTGAGTTATTAAAAATTATACAGTTTTTGTGTTTATGAACAATATTGCATTCGACAACCATCTACCCAGTACTGCTCAGAAATGTGCCTGGTCCCATCTGAATACATGGCTGTTTATTTTAACCAAAACACATGGTTATATGTTATTTGGGGTAAAGGAGGACTCCCTTAGCAACCACAACCATTAACAGAGGGGGTTGTTGCAGAAAAAGCAGCAATCTAGAGCATGAAGCAGGCTACTCTTTCTCATATTATTTCATAACCCTGAGTCTATGTTATCTCATTATTCTCAGCTCACATAGAGGTAGGAGTAAAAACACAAATAACATACTTTAAGCATTGTATAGGTCACCCGACTGGATTGTTAGTTCTATCATATATAAATGCAGAGGCCAATGCAGATGTAGAATGCAAGTTTGTGTACAAATTCTGTTATCCTTATCTAAAATGTGGACTCTGGACTTATTTTTACTATGATGCAGTAACTTTATTAAGAAACATTTGAGGTCTTGTTCACTCACCAGAGGATAGGAGGCTTTTGAGGAAAGTGAAGTTCTCTCCTATCTTGTCTAAGTCAGGTAGTAGTTTTGCTATTTCCTCCATCTCTGGTAAAGCTTTGGCCAGTTTATCTGTGGACACGAGAGATAACATGTCAAGTGGAGTACACAGAAAGGAAAATTGTCCCTGTTTTACTGAAATCTGGAGGAAAGAAAAGGCCAGGAATTAGCACATTCATTTGAACCATTACATTAAAATGAAAACACTTACCAAAATCAATTTGTTCACTCAGTTCCCAGACAAAATCAGGAATGACCCAGTTGTATTCACTAAAATCAGGCAGCATGTCCTTCCACTCCTCGTACGTCTGGAGATAAAATGACAAGATTATGTTATCATTACATGAATGAAAGTTCCTCTACTGTTTTCAATAAGCAACCAGTGTGCCACTACCGCTAGAAAAGGCAGGAGACAGCGATTTAAAATGCCACGGGAAAGGTTTTGCCACACACGACAGCATGGGTAAAACTAAGATGGTTGGTGGTCTCTGTAAATTTATCACCCAACTTTAGTTTATATCTCTCTCACTTTGTGATGATGAGGTAACTGAGAAATAAAAACTACCTTATGTGCAAGATGAAGTAGGGAATAGTTGAGAAATTCTGAGTTAGACACCCTCAATGCTGACCTTTTTCGCCGTGTACCCTCCTCCCACTGCCGAGCCCAGCAGAATGTATCGGAGCTTTAGCAGCCGCGCAGCGAGGCGAGCCACCCAGAAGTTGCGCTGCTGCTGGTAGTTACGGCCGCCTGACCCTGGGGGAGGCTTGGGAGGCCGCATGGGCAGCCGTGACATGGAGGTGAAATAGCGGGCTGCCGTGCGATGAGGAGGACGCTGAGGGTTGTTGTTCCCAGAGTAGCGGTGATGGATGGCACGGGACAGAGGGTGCAGCTTCTGTAGCGGTACCCGAAACCTCACCCCCATGTTGGTGGAGACCAGGTTCCTGCAGGCCATGCTGAGGTGACAGAGAGATTGCACAATAAACACAAGCTCACCTTCCTTGCGTGCCTATAAAACACCATAATACCTGAATATATAATCTCAGTGGGAGCTGTCTGATGTCTGATGATGCAGCTACCATCCAAAGAGAAACATAAAATCAAATGTAAGTTTTAAGAGAATCATTTTAACAGATAAAAATGTGACACTTTGCAAGAAGCTTGTATTTGTGTTAGTGGTTGTTGTAACAGTTGGAATAGCAATAGTAGGGTTTTAGTAATATAAATAAAACTAATATTTCTGAATATCCATCCTGTGGCTCCATCATCAGGAGGTGAACTAATCAACCTCCTAAATACAAAGAGTAGCAACTTCCCTTAGTGTAATAGAGCTCATAGCTAAGGTAGTGTGTGTAAGTCTGTCATACTATGACAATAATTTGTAAGTGGTCCTTTTAGTATAAAGTAGAACCAACAATAATGCTGCAACATGGAGGCAAATTTAAGATATGAGATAACAGATAAACAGATACGCTAACAATCAATAAGCAGTCAGCAAAACATTCAAATACATTTTGTAAATAAGTGTGCTGTCTGTATTACTATCACATACTTATCTTAACAGTATTAGAGAGTATTAGAGCCTGTAAGTCGATTTGTTTGTAATTAATAACACTTGACAACCGTGTCCAGACTGTCAGATGAAACCACAATCTCAGGGTTAAGGTAGCTCACCAACGTTGAGTTAATCTAAGGTACGTTTATAACAAATGACAGTGACAGTGAGCGGAGACAGGCTGTGCATCCAGATAGCTTTGATACTGTCTTTTTACAAGACGACGGCTGTTTACATGAGGCAGGTAGCTGGTAGCTAGCTCCGCTGTCCTCAGCTGTCAATGTGAGCAGCTCTGTGCGTCCCTCGGCTAACACCACTAGCTTTCTGTTTGCAGTTTCCTTTATTAAATGAGGAACTTACCAGGCAGCTTTACTCCCGACACGCAACATGGTGCCGTTATCAACAGCGGATGAACGCAAATCTCTTTCAAATTCACTCTTTAGGCACGGTTTAATTCATCTTTCCAAATGGTACACATCTGCTTGCCTGTTATGGCAGCTAACTAACTTAGCTCGTTAGCTAACAAGGACACAGCCAGAATGACAGTCTGTTTCCGGTGAAAGGTACAACCTTCAAATCGGCCCTGACAGAACACACACCAGTGAATTCATTCCTACGAACCCACAACAACGCGCACCACTGTGATCCATACTGTGTAATGTGTATATATATATATATGATGGTTATATGTGTGTGGTATATATATATATATATATATATATAAATATATATAAAATAATAATGGATAACTGTAAAGGATGACAGAAAGTCATTTTCATAATACGTTTACATTGTAGCAAGAATTTATATATATATATATATATATATACACATTTTTAATCTTAAAATGTTAATTTACTGTACAGCAAGAGTTTATATATTTATATACATTTTTGATTTTAAATTTTTAATGTACACAATTTTAAAATTAAAGATGTATACAATGTACACGTATTGTGAAAATAACTTTCTGTCATCCCTGTTAAGTTTCTAACATAAGAATGTCTTTTTTAAGTTATCCTCTATTAGTTTTTATTTTAAGTTATCCTTTATTAGTACTAGGAGGAGGGATGAATTGGTGCAATGAAATTGTGAGTAATTCCCTCAAGCAAGTTCTGCAACCTGGCAGACTTATGTAAAGGGAACATATGGAGGTCAAAAGACACCATCCTGAGTCCTACCTGTCAGTTGGGACATTTAAATGGTCAATACTGATAACATGATTGATAAAGTGGTCATTTGAATAAACAGGTGCAGCCTAGACTAGTTAAGGACGAAGTGAAACTGAAGTTATAGATAACTAAATGTCTGCACTGCTGTGTGAGCAGAGATAAATGCTGTCCATACAGATGTTATTTCATGTTGCAGGTTTCAGCATGACACACATTCAGAAGTCAACACATTTAAGTTTTGTGGGTGTCTGACTTTTTCTTTTGAGCTTCATTTTCAAAAGAATCACAGTGGATCCAATTACTCACCTGCATGTGTTAACCACTTATTTAAGCTACATTTGTGTACTGTAGGGAGAAAGGAGGAACTGCACAAGACTGAATGAATGAATCGAAATGGGCCAACAAGGCTCTTCACATTTCATAGTCTCTGCTATAAATCATATTCCTTAATTTGGAAGACACAACCTGTGTAACCTTTGCAGCTCTCAGTATCCCACAATCCATTATGTACATTTAGGCAATCCCTGCCAACTGGTAGTCAGCCAATACCTTGTGACCTCATTACATTAACCACTTATTGCACTTTTCTGCAAACAGGTTTACTCTATAAACACTATACTATAAGTTCTGCAACATACTGCAACTTGATGACTGCTCATCATTACATATTTTCCTGTAGCTTCTGCAGTTTCATGATTTCCCATTAATCCCCCAATGGAAACAAATTACTCGTAGACATCCATCATTTTTGAGAAGATTTATTGAAAAGAAAGAAATCAAGATCAATCTGAAATACAATCCTCAGGGGAAAGAAATGAAAATAAATAAAAAATAAATTATAAAGTACAAAAATGTTCAAAAACAAATTTACATCTCTGCCAATAAAAACAATACATATACCCCAGATGAGCATCTTGCTGGGGTGTGGGAGCTGCAAATAAAGAGAAAACCAAAAAAAAAAAAAACTACTGAAAGAGCTGACATAAAGATGGACTGTAATAAAAAGTTTTACCAACAGTATATTTTCATTCAGTTTGGGTGTCAACTTTTATTATTTTCTCTTTTCATTACAAATAGACATTTCCCTGAGGAAACAAAATCCACGTGAGGCTTCACATGCTCAGTGGCTGACTCAATCTAAATGCCATTCGATGGTTTGTTTAAAATACATGATGTGAGTAAGATGCTAACTGTCAACAGTCGGTATATGTTGTACCTGTATAAGAGCATAGAGGTTTCAGCATAAAATCCATTGTTTTGACATAGCTGTGTCACAATAAAAGGCAAAACCGTAGCCTAGAAGAAAAGCAATAGTAGTATTTACACTTTGCACGTCATTAAGTTGATGAATTTTCTGTATCAAGGTGCACAGTTATGACACGGCTGAATCATTTTTGCCCCTAGCAGCAATATAAATCACTTCTACAACAGACTGGTGATATAAAGCAGCAATGCACATTCCAATTTGCCAATTACATTTTAATTTTATAAAGGCAAAATAATTTTAAATAGGTTGACAAAAAGTAAAATATGTTTGTATGTCGGACAGAAAAGTAAGATTGTCAAATGTTGCTCAAATTCTAAATTTGTAAAGAGGAGGCCTCAAATATATAATATATCATTTGAATTCCCTTCTTGTGTCAGATCCTTGGTTTCATACAAAGCATTGACACAAAATTGAAGCAAAAGAAAAAGCTGATAAGTTGAAGTAGAACCCGCAGAGACAAATCTTTCCACTCAGGAGGTTTAATTTCAACTTCCTTTAAACTCTAAAAAGTAGTCGTGTGCTGCATTATATTTACCCAAGACTAACAAATATTGATCCAAGTTCCCCAATCATACTTCACAATAACTAATTCAAACTGTGAAATAAATGCCCACAATTCATGCCCAAATAAGGAAGATTCAAACTAATGCAACTCCATAACAAAAAGAGAAAGTACAAATAAATCCAATAGACAGTACAAATCAAAAGTAGACAGACAACTGATTGTAACACAGTACCAAAATAGTAGAAAAAGACACACCAGCCCTTTGATAATCCAAAAACCATACATTTTTATAACTAAATCTTTTGTCTTTTATGCACACACTAGAAATGTACATCTCATATATACAGATAGAATCCACCCTCATATGATATTCCTCTTCTGCTTCTGAATCTGTTCTCTTTTTACAAATAACCAATACACATGTGATGAAAAGTCTTTGGAAATAGAATCAATAACCATAGTATTGCCTTGCATTAAAATTTGTTCTTTACACAACATTCAATTTTAGCCTCAGTAGGTATCTATAGAAATTAAACCCTGAAAGCAAACAGAAAAAAAAAAAAAAACATACCACTGAATATTCAGAGGCTTATAAACTCGTGTGGCCCATGTTTGGACACATCAGCAACATTGCTGAAATTCAACAGAAATTAGTAATTTTGACTTTCTATTTGACTACATATCAGGAACTTTCTGAAAATTGGCACAAGAATGTCCATTTGAGTTGTGTGAACCAGTTTTATCTACTATATATATATATCATCCTCAGACTGACAATTTATCCATAAAATACTATAACAAAATACTATAACTTTGCTCATCTAATAAACAATGTATCCATTGAAACTATGGTCACATATCACATTTGAGCTTTTCATAAAAAAACAGTTTGGATCCCAAGTTTCATATGCATTTGTAATAATATTACAAGTATCTCAATGGCTTTTAGGGACTGAGCAGCTTCAGACTCTTATTACTGATTTAAGGAAATCTGATTTTGTTTCTATACGAATTAAATGATTGATAATCAATAGACTATATATAGATGTGATGTCATGTGTCATAGATGATTAAGTGTCTGATAATACGTTGCTATTACCAGCTTTTTGAGGAGAGAAGAATTTACTTAGTACTTTTGTCAGGGAGGAGAAGAAACATTACATTTAATTTGACATCCTTTTGACATGGTGTCTCATGACCACTGTTTAGCACTCTAAAAATACTTTGGGACACACACTATTTAAAAACCATACAATTCATGAAAGGCAGGCTGCTATGCAGAGTTTACGGTTATACTGACATTGTGTGTTGGCGTCTTTGCTTCAAAGTGACACTCCAACCTAAATCAAACAATATGGTGGCTTTAAAAGGCGGCTGCAAATAGTTTGTTTTCTTCTTACAGCAGCTGTGGTCAGCTTGAATTCAATCAGTTATTATGATTTATCTGCTTCTCCACTGTCCATCTATTAGTGCCAACATTGGAATCTATCTCAATAGACTTTTTTTTGTTATTAAGAAGGAAACTACAACCTTTTACAGCAACCTTCAAAGTTTACAGAAAGTGAGTGAGCGAGTGTTTGACACTGAAATAGATTTTGTGGAGCATCACTTTAAATGTCAAAGAAAGAGCGGTCAACATAAAATATAGCCCTTAACTCGCTATGCAGGTACCTTATGTGTAATACATGAGAATATATGGTAACCAGCATCCATCTTGTGCAGTGTGTGTTGTTGCATGGATGTTTTAAATCTGCAGTGAGTTGATGAGACGCACAATGCCTTGCCTTTACGATTCCACTTTTAAATCAGTCTTCCATAGGAAGAAATTTAGTTTTAAAAAAGAAAAAAAGAAACCTAAGTAGTTCGTACTACTGGCTTTCTGGAGCCAATCTGACACGAGTTTGATTTATATGGTCTCATGCATGTGATTAACTGTCCACGATAACCAGCTAGTTCATGCAAAATACAGAGATGTTGATGTGTTTCTTAATTGTACAGTAATTCTGTATTTGTGGTAATATTTCTAGTATTGCAACCATCACGTTTTCAGATGATGAGGGAGCTGGCTTCATGCAAAACTTGGTATGCTTTCCTGTCTGATGTCATTAGTTGCTGACAGGACATGGCTCATAGATGCAAAAACGTAAGATTAAAAAGGTTTATAGCCACACTAGTGGCCCATGAGAGCGTAAAGCTCATTTCACTCTAGCAAACCTTTTTGATAGATTGATTGACAGATCTTTACCTGCCTGCAGGGAACGCCAGCGGAAAGGCCATGTTGTTCCCCGTCAAACTTGTTAGCACAGTATGCTAACACTTATCATTTAAGTGTAACATGTTAACATTTAGTATGTTAGCATTAGTACAGCTGAGGTTGATGAGGATTCAGTCATTAGTTTCAGAGGTATCCTATTATGAACAGAAGAGTTGATTACTGTTGGTGTTGTGACATGAAAAATCAGGACCATGAATGTCTATGCCAAATGTCATGACAATACATCAAATAGTTGTTGAGATATTTCAGTATGGACTGACAGACTAATTGATCCACTATGGTAGCATGGCTAAAAATCTCTGTTAAAAAACATAAAGTTGAGCTCTGACAAACAGACAAACACAGTGGAGATCCTGCCACAGGTCCCAGCCTGTGGTTAAGAGAGGATGAGCACATCTGTCTCCCTCACTGTTCACCTAAAGTCCTTTACTTTTTACAGGCCATGTTTTTGTGTGTGATGTATATTGTACTGTGTTTTCTGGCTGTGAGTGTGCAAATGAAGTTGACTGCAGCCATGCCAAAATTCCCAATCTTCTACAGCTCAATAAAATACTATTTGAATCCTGGGTATGAGTCAAATTAGTAATTTTATTCATCCCTGGGGGTCCATTATAAGCTTTAAAGCTTTTCTTTTTGGTTATGAGTCTATGCTTTCTAATGAGTGCTAGCCAGTTGGTAATGCTAGCTCATTCAAATGACTCTGTATGTATCATACATACATATACATACATATACACACAGTATGTGCATTAGCTGTATAACACCACTACATAGTAGCAATCAGAGCCTGCACTGCCAACAACAGGTTAGACTTGAGGAACATGTGGTGGTGGCTGCTCAGAAATATGAACATGGACCTGCTGCTGATTATGATCTGATAATACAGAATTTGATCAATTACACAGAGTTGGTCAGTACAGCCAACCAGTGATATTTATCTATTACTACAAGCACCTTCAACCCAACCAGTAGTTCCAATTTAATTACAGAATGTGAAATAAGGTATAATTAATTGTACTAATTGACTTTTGTTGTGAAACTGCTTTCTTCTGCCCTCTTCCAGACTCTCTTTTTATCACGCAATTCTCTCACTCGCCGTTCAGTCAGAGTGGGTCGTACTTTCTACGGAAGACCTTATTATTTTAACAATGGTATAAAAGTAATTACTTTCTAGCATTCAACACCTTCCATTACATTTCTGACAGCACACGTATGTCAGAAACCAGCTCTGTAGCAGAGTGGGACTTTGGCTCTCTTTTATACCTCTTTCATACAAAGTGACGGTACATTAAACCATCAGTCTGAAGAGGTAAGCGCGCAAATTCGACCTGGCCTATCAACCATTCTCCCAGCCTGGGTTGAATGCTGCTCAGCTTCAGTGAACAGACATTGCAATAAGGAATGGGAATTACATTTAATGTTAATGTTAAATTACATGAATACAAGCAGGAGAGACCTGAGACCGAGCAAGTGGGCGAGCCAGAGAGCAGGAGTACTGAGAGATCCGAAACTTAACTTTATTTGGTACTTTTGTGTAATGCTTTTGCTGTGGAACTAGTTTTAGACGCAAGTCTCTGAACGGTAATAGCAAGCACTTGTATCTGTGACAATTCCATTTGAATAGATCAAATTTGCGTTCACTGAACATGTGTTATAAGCAGGTTTCCTGTATGAAAGGGGTAGATTAAATTCTGGGGCCAGGGGGGTGCTAGGAGTTGGTCATGATCTGATAGGTGGAGCCATTTTCTGGACGAGGCTTGGCTTCAGTAGTGGTCGTTGGCTTTGGTGGCCAGTCGGGGTCCACACTGAGCTCCTGGGCCAGATGCATGTAGCGAGCCTTGGGTGTCTTCCGTGGGCAGCACAGCCGGGACAGACACTTGTACGCCCGCAGGTCAATGCCCCCCTGAAAATAGCACAGCCCCAAAAATAAACAGATAAATAAAATAAAAATACAAAAGATAGAAAGAAATGAAATTAAGGGGTTCCATGAACTTGTGTCATATTTTGTTTAGATTTTCTAGAAATGCTTTTACTGACAAATGCAAGTCAGACAGTGGCATGCTAATTCAACTGTTACATGCAAAATATATAACTGGAGAGGAACCATTTGTGTAACAGGCAGGCATTTTCCTTTACACTGGTAAATTGCAACAAGTGTGCATGCATGAAAGTCATTCAAAACAAAATTCAGCATGATAATTGTTTGAAGGAGTTGGCAGTAGACTGCTTAAAGAGTGAGTCCACTCCTTAAAAACAAGCTCATGGAGTCAAAGATCGAGCAAACAAAAGGATTCCACAGCAGGTCTTTACAGATTAAAAAACATAAATGAGTAAAATGTTTTCATTAACCTTATATTGGAAAAGACATTTAAGGCTTGCCTGCTGTACTGTACGTTAGAGGGAGCACTGACAGTGCTGACTGACAGTTATCTAGGACATAACAGGGAAACTAAGAGATAAGTACAGCAAGTAAAGCTTTGTAGGCTGAAACTAAAGGTGCAGTAGACAGAGGGAGAGGAGGTGGAAAGCAGTGGGAGATATCCAAGGCTTAGAAACAGTTTGCTCAATTGACAAAAGCAATCAATAACAATAATAAAAAAATAATATCCACAATAATGTCTACCACCTTGCTAAAGGTGGTAAGAATCTCTAGCAATGTGGTTATATAGCGGTTTCTAAAGGAGAAGAGCGCTTTACTCATTCACTTGTCATTTAAACTTCCCAGTTATAAACCCACTTATCTCCATGTTTAAGTGTGACCCTCCAGCAGGTGAATTTGAAAATAGCTTTCAGCTTCAGCAAGAACATTATGAAGTAAAATACTTTCTCTTAAGAGCAGTTATGGAGCAGAATGGAGTCAGAGAACAGAATAGTTTGGTTAACTGTTAAAAACCCCTGAACAAAAGGCCCATCGGGGGACACGAGAAGGAGAGGACAGATCAGAATGAGACTGACGTCTCACACATGCATGTCTTGGTTAGAGGTTAGAATAGAAAGGTGCGGTCTGTAGTTTTAGAAGAAGAAGTGGGGACAGAGAGAGGAAACACCACACAAGAGGAAAATGAAAGGGCTAAAGAAGAAGGTGTCAGATATTCCCAACCTGTGGTGTCGGGGCGGCAGGAGTGACGCCAAAGCTGCCATGTTTGTCTCGGCTGAACACAAGCTTCCATAAGATGATGTCAAGGATGAAGGTCTATGGAATAGCGCAGTGGGCAGGGGAAAGGATTACAGAGAGGCTAATTTGATTTCACATAGCGTCTGTTATTATTTTTTGCATAGAGGTCTTCAATCGTGTTTGCAGAGTCACAATATATCAAAGCTTTAGGTTTTCTTCCATTAAGCTGTGTGTTAAACAGGCATGCGATTGGCATTGGCAAATTACAAAAGAGCAGGAGAATATACAGAGTGCAGAGCACGGATCTGCTTGATTCACATGGGTCACATTTTCATGTCAGAAAATCCGGAATTCCGGATGAATCCGGAAAAATCACATCCTTGGTTAATACATGTGAGGTTAAAATTAAACTTAAAAATTGGTAAGAAAAGAGTGCATGGATACTATTGTCTCAAAATACTGGAAACTCTGCAATAATTTCTGATTATGTGCAAAATCATCTTGGTTGATTTTTTAAAGAAAAATTCACTTAAAAAAGGTGAAGGATTTGGACTGGTAGTTTCGGAAATAGCATAGCAAAGGGGTGTCTGCTAAGCAGTGCATGTATGCAAGGACAGCTATCTAAAAAGGAAGGCAGAGGAATAGTGATACTGCTCCACTGAGAGTGGCAGGCCAGCATAAACTATCCATAGTAATGCGTTGTACTGCAATAAATAATTTTCTTAAAAGAACATCCGTCTATCCAAAAATTAGACAAGACAAACGTATGCTGCAATGAGGAACTTCAAAAGTCCCACAAATGCATACATTTAACCAAAAACAGTCACATACTTTATGTGTTAAATATTACACATACTGTAGTTTGTAGACAAGAACATTTTCACTTTACAACATAATTTCTTTTCACAACACAAGACTGATCCTGCTGTCCAGCTAAATGAGACAAAGATGAGCACACTGCATGAAAAAACAAAAACTGAGCATGAGAAAAAAACATCTACTGTTACCATGTGTTCAAGTGTGTGTGTGTGTGTGTGTGTGTGTCTTACCTCCACCAAAACAGAAACAGCAGCATTGACTAAGATGATGAGGAAGAGTTTTACTCTCCATTCAAACGGGACACAAACAATCTGTACAGAGAGAGAGAGAGATACTTAAACGCTGATTATCAGCAATTATTAGAATAACAGCCTCGTTTTAAGGCTCTGCGACACTTCAGTTATTAATTACATTATGGACTGGGCCTTAATATTGTTTTAAAATATTAAAAGAGTATAGAGCACAGCAAGCTAGTCTTCAGAGCTGAGTAAAGGTGTATGTTTCTCGTGATTGAGGTCTTCTTACCTCTAGAAACTCATCAATGCCTTCGACAGGGTGGAAAATAATGAACAGCAGGAAAATATACAAACAAATGGCAGACAGCACAAAAGGCCCTGAGGAGGGGACACACAAGCACACACAAACAAATTTATTACATATAAAAGTAACTTACTTTAAGCAGATTAATGAATGACTTAATTAAATAAGTTTCTTACAATTCTTGTAGCTAGGCTGCCTGAAAGGTTTTCCCTTTGAGAAAACGATGGCAACAATTAGATACTGGAAGCAGGAGACATAGAAGAGGCTGGTGTTCTCGAAGTTTTGGATGTTGTGGTCATCCACTTCGGTGTCGTTGTCGTCAGACATGTTAATGTGTGATGAACGGTTGCAGACACTGGGTGAGAAGAGAGTGCGATTCAAGAACAATCCAATAACATTTTCAGCATGTGGGACAGTTTTTTTAAAATATTAAATGCTATTAAATTATTCCAAATCCAGTTTTTGTTTTGCTGAGGTACATTGGCAATGATAGCAGGTACTCACTCTGTCAGTGGTGTCCAGACTGTGTACCAGGGCTGCTGTCGGACCCAAAGGAATGTAATGGTCTGGAAGCCCAAGCAGATGAGGATTTGGGTCAGCACAGAGAACAGCAGAGGCCCTGAGATCAGACCTGATGGTGGGCGACGTGACACCAGTTCTTTCCACGCTGGATTCAGACTCACTGAGGAGGGGCAGGGGCAAATGATAAAGATGGGCAGAAAACAGATATTGAGGGTGAGCAGAAAAGGCGGGCAGTAAAGATTTAGGTTAAGAAACAAAAAGAAAAAAAAAAATCACATCACCATGTTTGTTATTTCTCTTATACTTACTGGTAAAGACAATAAGGAGGATGATGGCAATATCGATGAAGAGGAACTGAAAGTCCCCAAGGTTACTGAGGATCTACGTAACAAAAACAAAAAAACAGCACTGATCAGAGACTGGATTTCTCACTTATTCCTCAGCTACAATTGATTGCGGGAGCTGTATTACGTACAGAGTAGAGGAGAGTGACACTGATGTACTGGATGATGCTGTAAAGGGCCATGAACTTAAACACACAGAAGGAGGTGATGAGAGCAGCACGCCCCTCCCTGTAAAAACAAGAAAACACACTGTGTTATCCTTCTATCAACCTCAGAAGTAACATTAGGTCATGTAGCTATAAAAACACAACTTGACATAAAAAAAGCCATTTTAAGCACCATGAATTTGTCTAAAATAGGTGCAATTTTAAGGAGAAAACTAGCTCCTAAATACATTTATATACTCTCTATCATTTATTTATTTATTCATTCACTGTGTTGTGCACAAATAAAAAGCAGATAAGACCAACCTGATGAGGCTGGGGACACAGGAGATGTTGGGGGTCCTAGAGGTGAAGGGAGAGGCTACCGAGGCCTCAAGCTCTGACAGAGAGATGCCACCATGAGCCCTCTTCAGAGCCTGGTCGAGGAAAGTGAGAAATACAAGGTATGTTCAGCATGCAATTAATATCCATTTAAACCTGTTATTGTCACACTAAGAATTACTTTGAAATGGCTGTACGTACCCCACAGTCGTTTGCTCCGTCTCCGCACATCCCCACAAAGTAGCTGGAAGTAAATAATAAAAAACAGTGACTGTTACCACTTTCTTTCAATCAATAAAATATATATTCATTGTTAAAGCTCTGACTGAAGGCTTACTCTACTGATGCTAGTTATTTAATAAACTCTACATTGTGGATGTAATACTTCTATAAACGTTGTATGACATGTTAAAGTACTTCTTCATAGCTATATCATGTATTTGACTTAAATACTCACTCTACGCCCTGCAGCGCCTCAATGAGCTGGGTTTTCTGGTCTGGGGCCATTCTGGCAAACACCGTCCCGTGCAGCACAAGCTACAAGGCAGAACACACGATCATAACGAAACATTAGGTATCGTGGCGGTAGTTGTACCCAAGGAATCATCGGAGCAACTTCTCCTTTAAATTTCCTACTCCAGTAACAGAAAAGGTTGGAGTGATGTCCATTCTCACTCAAGAGACCTTGTACCTTTTGAAGCATGTCAGGGAAATGCTCCTCGATGACCGCAAATGATTTTCCGTTCATAGCAAAGTGGTACAGCTCTTGTGTTTTCTGTTCATCTACGTGACACACATCCTCCAGACTGATGTTCACTTCCTGGTAGAGTAATGATATTAGTATGGATTAGAGCCAAAACATTAAAAGATACCAATAAAAAGAGGCCTAATTAATTACTATAGAGTTGACTACTTGACAACTTCTCAGTCAGTGTCACCAACAATGAAGAATTTTCTGTTTTGCAAATGACATTTTTACTATTCAGCTATTGAATGCTTACATATATGTATTTAGTGGTTGAAACTTTACATTTGTCTCTCATTCACATGTTAGAATCCTTTATTTATATTACTATAACTTACATTATTGTACATTATATAATAAGTATAGTATAACAAGTGCGTCATGACTGATATCACTCAAAAGTAATTTGTGTGTTTGGGCTTTAGTATAGGTATCACTGATGAGACACATCTTTGAAGACAACACTTAAGTAAAGTAGACAATATAATCTTTAGTGTATATATCAAGCTACCTATAAATATTTTTTAGGTTTCCTTTTCAGACAATAATAGAAAATGGCAGAGAAGTTGTGTTCCCTCCTACTAAATAGGTGGTGTGGGACACTTTGTCACTGAGAGACCTACAACAATTTCACTTATTTGGTTTCAGAGATTAGCATCGTCTTTCCATCCCTTTGTGCAGGAGTGATTGTGCAAGCCTTTTCATCGGTGCTCATTCTCTATGTGTGTGTTTTGTGTCTGTGCAGGTATCCGTGTTAGCCCCAACGCCTTACCTCCAGGCGCGATATCTTGCTCGGCTTGTCAGCGTATCTCCAGGTAATCTTGGCGGCTTGTCCATTATGGGGAGCGAGGGCATCAGCAATGATAACTGTGTCTTGGGGAGGAATCATTCCACAGTCCCGGGCCACAGAGATAGCTGTCAGCATGTTGTCACCTTGAATGTGAATACAGCACACATTTATTATTTTGCTTCTCATGTTTTTATGTCACTCTGTTCCTTCCTCTCATTCTCTATCTTTCTCACAAAAACACACGCATTACAACCTTGAGATTTTTTCTGGTCAATTCCCCAACAAGCATTTATATTAGTCTGGGGTGCAGGGTGTGAGGGTGGTGGTGAATGGAAACAGGAATCCTTCAGATCCAGAAGGTTTTAAGACCATATGGAGTAAATATGAGGAGGAGTAGGACAAGGAAATAAAAAATAATCCTCTGGTGGATACTGGACTATGTTAGTGCTAGTTACACTGAGCAGCCTAGAAAATGGAATTAAATGAGATTACAGGTACAGCTGAGTAAATACCAGAGGGATTAAATATTTCGATTGCCAATACACAGATTACCAAACACATTATGCTGCCTGTGTCACAGCAGAACACAAGCTTTAACCAGGATTGTGTGTTATGTGTACTGTACATTTTCACTTGCACATCTCTGTGTGTTTGTTCTATTTAGTGACTATGTTGATGCCATCACTGGCTTAGTTCAGGCCCATGTGCACGTGTGAGTATGTGTGCACACACATGTATGAATGGTCTCACCAGTAACCATGACAGTTCGGATGTGTGCTCTGTGGAGGTCCTGCAGCACCCCTGGAGTTTCTGCCTTCAGTTTATTCTGCATGATGATGAGACCCAGGAACTCCATGTTTGCCTCTATATGATCCCTAGTTCAAAGGAAGAAAACAAAACATACGTGTTTAGACTTACGTGCCAAGGCCGATAACAATTTTAGAGGGTAAAAATTCACAGATTAGAGATATGGCAGCCGATACAGTGAATTTTAGAGCTGGAATCAAAATTACGCTTTTCTATATGGATTGTTTACTAATACAACTATGTAAAGGTACTCAGAAGGCTGCTTCCTGAGACAAATAACATATTTAAATAATTTTTAAGTTAAATATTCTTTATTTTTAATTTAACATATACACTGTCAACAAGTTCTAGTCGACATTGCTGAGAGCTGCACTCTTTTGGATAAACTTTGCTAAAAAAAAAAAAAAATGTTTTCATATTGGCACGTGAGATACGCTGATATGATGCCGATATGTCTGGAATAGGCCAATATTGGCCACTAATATTAGCTTAACTAAAATACAAGGAGGACTCGCATACATTTGTTTGACACAAGAGCCCCTTCACCTGATTTTCTTTTTTATATATCACAGACTAAAGGGATGAAGGTGTGACAGTCTAATGTCAGCAGTGTGAAGCAGCGTGCTAAAAAGCAGCAGCAATCCTCAGCTTGAAGTTCTCTAGGTAGGTTTAAAATGGAGGTCAAAAGTAACAATATAAACAATATACAGTATAATACCTGTTGATGTTCTGGACTTTGTGCCAGTTGAGTTTGGATTCAAGTCGACGATGAGCCAAAGCTATGACCCTGAAACCTTGCTTGGTGTAGCTCTCCAAAACCTCTGCAAAGTTTTCTGGCACTACAAAGAGACATTGAAGAAATAAGTTAGAGAGAGGGGCAGCAAATAAAGAAGACACGTCAAACTTCTATATAAAAAAAAAAATGATATGACAAACTTTTATATAAACAGGGTGGCTTCTACAGCTTGCTCCGACACCTTATGGTTCACAAGTGTTCATAAAGTGCTTAATAAGCACTGGTGACACAGTAACTGTTCCGTTCTAAAAACATAATACAGCAGTTTTTGAGATAATTTTGATAATAACAAATTCTAGGACTAATTAATGGTTACCTAAAGCTCTACTGTGGGAAGAAGAAGTCTGCAATAAACTGCCAAACAATCCTCTGTCCTTATCATCTATCATCGTCACCTCATCAGTATGATCATGATAAAGTGATGATCCTGCCACAAGTTATCCTTATGGATAAAGGGCATTGTTGCCATCGACTCCAGTAAAACATATCTTTCAATGCCGTTCGCCACTATAGCAGTTATAGTAATTAGACACCTCACCTGTTTCTTTCTTGCAAAGACTAACCACCACCTCTGGCGCCCCCTTTGTGTAGGCATCCATACGTTTCTCCCCCAGCAAACGAGCCACCACAGTCATCCTCTGGAGTGCTGAGGAAAAAGGAAACTGGCGCACAATACCAATCTCATACGCTGACTGCTCATGCACACCCACAGACACACAAAAAAACAGAAGACAGTCTTTACCGTTCATGTTCATGTTTTTGGTTTACTGCTACAAATGAAAACATGGAAAATGCTACTAATTACAAAATTACTACTTTTAGAAGGATAATTGGTAATTTAATTGCTTAGTTAACAAGATCCTGACACGTATACAGATTAGATCATCATGTTGAAACTGAGCTATAAACAAGTTTATTTACAATTTTATAATATATCTTTTTGAGACAAGTTTGTCAACTTAAAACATTTAAATATACATGAACTGGCCAACATCATTATTAGAAAGCCACTATTTATGTAAAATTTTACTGCTCTATAAAATCTGAACTTTTCATTCGGAAGGAAAAATAGGAATCTTAGGAGTACATTTTCAAAATGGAAGCAGGCTACTTACCGAGAGTTCATACAGTTCCTAGAATAAGAAAGTGAGAAAACAGTAGAGTGGGATGAGTCAGTGAGAAACAAATAAACCAACCATTCAGAGTATTAATAATGTTGCTGTTGTGTTATGCAGGTAGTGTCTATTAATGTTATATTGAGGCACAAGAATATGCTGGTTTTAATTACAGCCAATATTCTGTCAACTTGTAGGCAGACTATAAAAAAAGTCAGAGAATAAATAATACTATGGCCAAGACCACACTCCAGCTTTAATAATTCATTAATATCATCAGATTGATAGATTTGTTTATATTTAAATTTCAGTCTTTGTATTGATAAAACATCTCCAGTTGAACAACTGCGCTGTTTGTACCATGTCCTGTTCTGTTGATGCAGCAGGCTCAGGGGGCAACAGCTGTTTTGGGGGTCGAACCACAGTGGGCATGATACGGTTGTGGAGAGATGTTTCCTCCTCAGTGGCCTCCTCCAGAATCTGGACAGACAAAGATTTTAGAGAAAATTAGTATTAGAAAAATGGAATGTAAGTGATATCAAGAATATGTTATTAATGAAATATATTTGATATAGTAAATCAATTATTCCTCTTTCTATTGGCCCACACATAAAACAGATTCCAAGTAGCTATTTGTCCCCATATGCCTTTTTAAGGGTGGTCTGACTAATTATATTTCCACTGTGCTGCCCTGACCAACTTTATGCTCTTGTATAAATACATAACAACTCACCCAGCCTGTAGCTTCAAACATTTTGAGGTCCAGCGGGTCTCCAGACAGCTGGCCCTCTATTTTGGTTAGAGAGTGGCAGGTGGCCATACAAGCCACAAACTGGGACTTGACAAGATTCTCCTTGTAGGCATTTTCCTCTGACAGGTGGAAACTGGAGAGGCAGGAGAAATAGGAGGTATATGATTATGGCTACATTTATACCATAGATTCATGCTACAGAAATATGCATATCATTTTCTTAACATAATTAACCACACAATAAATAACTATTATTCTAAATTTAGGGAATTAAATAATCATATAACTCAATATTTCTGCACTTTAAAATATCTGATGAACAATTGTAAGAATTACTGAGCAAACAATGGTTGATTTTGTTAGTATCTTCTGGTATCTAAACAATTTAACTTGAGCTGTTTGGGCATATGGATAATTATGTTGTGATTCTATGAGATTTCAGCATTCGCAAGGATTTGAAATGAAGGAAATTAGACCTTCTTGACAAGACATTCCAGTATATTTTAGTTCCTTTGGACCAGATAATCAGAAAAGCAACATGCGCTCAGTAATGGCTAAACTAAGATAATGACTTCAGATTTCTAAGGCTTCTTTCACATGCAGTCAAAATGCATTGAAGAAGTGGGAGGTCCATGTTTGCTATTGTTGACCTGTTGATTAGAGAACAGACCAGCTTACCTGCCATTCTCAACCCTCTGCACTCCCCATAAGTCTAATCCATCTTCTGTCAGAGTTCCAGTCTGCAAGTATACAGAAAGTAGAATAAAATAAATAAATTGTTTGAATCAAATCAAATGAACATAAAAACATCTTTATTGCCTCACAATTAGAGCCAGGTACAATCCATTTTGGGTAACATCTGTTGTTACTCCCTCATATGAGTGATATGTAAGGTTAGTGCCTGCTACTTGAAGAGCAAAAACAGCGGTCATACAACCACGAGCACTTACCTTGTCAAAGCAGACCAGATTTATTTGTCCGCAGATATTGATCCTCTGAGGACTGATACAGAAAATTCCAATACGTTTGAGGCGTCGCTGGGCGTATACAATGCCTGCTGTCATGGCGGCTGGTAGCGCCGGTGGCACAGTGATAGTGATGATGTCCAGCGACTCAATGATGATGGTCTTAGCTGGCACCTGCCGCAAGCAGACAAGAAAAACTCAGGAAACTTTTGCATGTTTGATAATCACTTAACTTTAATGTCTCTCCTGATTTAAATCATCACGCCTAAAACTGGTATGGATTCACAGTTCACTCACACTTAAAAGGGCTGCTAAAATTCAGGTTTGAGAGTCAAATATGTGGCATTTCCCAAGATAAGCTGTTGAGAGCCACTTGAATTGAACAGTGTGGTACAGCAAAGTCTTTCTGATTGTTCATGTTAAAAACAAACCCAAAGCAAGGTCCCAAAACGGCTGATCCTCTAAGTCTGATGCTAATCCTACAAACAACTCTATAATCATACAACAAGTGTTACAGAGGCTAGAAAAATAATGTCTCAAACTGTTCATGTTCTACAGCACAAAGTGACTCAGAAATGTATTAACAAGCTGTTTATTGTTGGAAAGGCGAAAACACCAGTCAGTGAGTATCAGACTTTTCAGATGACAAGAAATAGGACTCAAGTGGGCTGTTGTCTTCTTTACTAACATGTCACCAAAAAAAAACATGATGAACTGATCATGCATCTGTTACTGAGTTTGTTTTGTTATGTTTCTGCCCCCTAGTGGGCAAAATTCTCTTTAGTTCAGTTTTAGATTACCTTGTTCATGACGCTGAGGACGATAGAGTAGACAAAGCCAATTCCAGCCACAGCCACCAGACACAACAGGAAGAGGTAGGCATCACGGTACAGCTTGAAGTCGGTGGGTTTTGGGTAAAGGATGGAGCGCACCAGCTGGCCTTTGGCTGTGCTGAAACCTGTGTAAAGAAATTGTTATGAGAAGTTGTGGGTAAAATGATAACACAGTAGCACATCTGAATAGATATTCCTGGACACACAGCCCTACCTGTGCGGACCACCACAGCCTTGACCAGTTCGCCAGTGTAGAAGCGGGTCTGGATGACGTTGGTGCCACAGAAGAGGGTGTGTCTCTTATGTTCCTCTGTGTTGTAGGCACTGTCAGTCTCCTCCCCCCTCTCCCCTGGCACTGGGTTTGGGAGGTTGGTCTTCGTCACAGGAACGCTCTCACCTGATGGAGTGGTGGACTGATGTTAAGACTGAAGATTTACAGAAAAGGCATTGTGTTGGTCCTGTGCTCAGACAGAAATATTCAGATTTTGGCTCTAACCTGTGAGCATGCTTTCATTGACGATGCAGGTGCCGCTGACCAGCACGGCGTCACATGGCATGATGGTCCCGTTGCTGGGGATGACCATCACATCACCGGGCACCAGGTCAGTAGACAAAATCTCTTCGATTTCTTCCAGTAAGAGGGGCGCAATGGAGGAGTGGAGAAAGTAAATGAGTGTGTTAAATTTAGACAGGTAGAGAGCAGTGTGAGTAACAAAATAAAATATAAAAAAATTATTGTGGAGTGTGGAGAAAGGTGATAAGTGTGTAAATGAGCCAACAGTAGCAGATGGTGGATTGGGGGGGTGAGAAAATAGATATTTTGTGTGTCAGAGCCCCAGACTCTTGTTCAGCACATCTCTCATTACTCATGCTTCTCTAGGCAGCAGGAAACAAGCTAAGTAATCACAAGCAGGGGCCAGTGCAGTAAATAACTGTATAAACAAAAATGTGGTGTACCTTCATCCACAACAATGTTTAATTTTTAGTTTAATTTTGGCCAACTTTGGCCAACTTTGGCCAACTCATGGAAATAATATCAAGCCCCCGTCTGACACTCTCTCTTTCTCAATCTGCATTGTCTGCCTAAGAGCCATCTGGAGGACAGCCAAAGCAGGGTGACTGTGTAACAGAGTCTGTCCCAGCACAGAAGCAGTAAAATGTCTACTGTAAGGTTTGGTTTGTAAAGCATTCTTTTAGAAAAGAAGGAAACTGAATATAATAATACATGGTGTGTACTACTATTAAAATGACTAAATGACATGAGCCAATCTGAAAAAAAAGAAGGAAAAAAAAACACAAAAACAAAAAAGAAATTGACAAACCATTGTTGGCTCGGCATACAGACACACGGACAATACTGTGAGCTGCCACCATATCGTGAAGCATGATGTATTGCTGGAAAAAAGGAACACAGAAAACAGATGAAAAACTTAAGACAGTTTCTCGATACCTGTGTGAGTGTGAGGGTGTTTTCGTCTGAGTTTGGGAACCATGAAGCCAGGGGCAGCAGACCGTGTGCAGATGAGCCTTTATGCTATCCTAAAAACCCTGGATTAGACACGAGCAGGGTGGCGAGTGTGTCTGACATGACCTGCCTAAGCACTGAGGCTGTACCAGTAACATTATTATAGTTAGTCCATTGGTTAGATTATTGTGTAGTTGCAGTACTGTGTCTTAAATATACAGTGTATAAGTTTGAACATAAAAGTTGCAGGTTCTGGTTGCGCAGAAAGGTTAATAGTATGAGTAGTATGAGTTAACACAACTTATAAGATACAAACACACAGTGTCTGCCCAACTTTACATGCTGTCTTATCAAAGTCTTAAAAGGCGGCATGGCTAACATTTCGATTATGAAATATCTTGTATAAAAGCTTACGTTTTGACATAATATGGACAAATCAACGTTAGCATCCTGAGGACCGGTTGCTAGTGAAGTAAAAAAATGTGTATTGAGAAAAGAGTCTGAATATTTTGTGGCGCTCACCTTTTTGATGGTGTACAGAGAGGTAGCTATGGATATGACCGACATGAAAACAATGGCCACAGCATAGTAGTAATACTCATCGGCACTCCACAGGATCACACTGAAGAGCTGGAAGATGTAGAAAGGGTTGAGGACCTGCAGGAGGAGACAGAGAGAGATTAGTGTGGCAAATACAGAGGTGAGAGAATGAACATAAACAATAAACAGAGAAAAAAGGAGACAGAGATGTCCAATTTATAAGATGTACACTTAATAATGTAACTATTAGTATTGTTACATTTTGTACACATGCTTTAGCAGTGTTTAAGGTGTAAGGGAATGATAAATGGTATGTAATTAAGTGTATAATAAAAAGTGCTTGAGGCAGAATGGTACTTTATACACATGCCCACTGGGTAATGTTACCAGAGTTATTTCAATGGGAGTTGTGACCCACATTACGGTGTTTGTCTGCAGGGAGCATTACTGTTGTATTTACCCTCACGCAGCACTTCTCTTGTAGAAATATAGAAAGTAGATATCCCAAATATTTTCCTTTAACAAGTATGGACAAAAAAATGGGAAGGTCTCTATATCTATGAGCTGGGAAATGGTAAAAAAAAAAAAAAAAAGATAATCAATTAATTGATTAATTAAATGTCATTTTAAAGAAAAAAAAATGTCCAAATTATCAAATTTCAGCTTCTCAAATGTGAATATTTTCTGGTTTCTTTTGTGTTCTCTAAAAGTAAACGGAATATCTTTCAGTTGTGGACAAAACAAGACATGTGAGGATGTCACCCTGGGCTTTGGGAAAGAGTGACCAAAGAACTAATCAATTAATCGAGAAAATTATGACAGGTGAAATGACAGATTAACTGATAATGAAAAATAATCGTTATCTCCACACCCTTTGAAGGCACCGTTTCTTGGAAGTAGGGCTGCAAATAACAATTTGTTTTCATCATCTATTAAGCTAAAGATTATATGTCCAATTAAATAATTAATTGTTTGACATATAAAATGTCAGAAAATTGTGAAAGAAATAAATTAAAATTGTTACTCTCAAAAAGCCCAAGTTAAAATATTTGAACTGCTTGCTTTGTCCAACCAAAATGTATGCCAAAAGCCATATCACAGGCATCGGCTTAATGTTGGCATAAGAAACTGGAATGGGAGAAAATGGGATGAACACACAAGTTGACAAGGTGTCTTTCATTCAAGGACAATTCAAACTTTGAGTTAAAGAAAATGCTGCCTCTGTTAATGCAAACTGGTCCCCACCTCTTTGATAAGCAGCTTGAAAACAGAAGGCACTTTCACTGCAATTTCATTCACTCCGAAGAACAGTCTCCTGACAAGAGGTGAAAGAGACATTCATGAGTCAAGTGTTGTAAACCAGACCTTCATATTTCATATCTAAACACATACAAACACGCACACTTACACAACAATGTAGCAATAAGGTTAAAAGTACATAGCTTTTCATTCTAAACAATATTACCAGATGATTTCAGTGATTAGATACAGCAGAATAATATGGCCCTACTCCTGGCTGTCTGAAGTTGTGCAGCCTGTCCTTCAGACACGTGAGATGTTACCTGTACTCCTGCTGGTTCCTGGTCAGGCCTGCACTGTGCTCCGAGTGGAGGGTGGAGCAGCTGACCTGCAGATCCTCCATGCCGCTATAGAGGTAAAGTAGGTCAAAGCAGGAAACAAAGTCAATTTTCTTTTACGACTTTTAATTAAAAATAACAGTGCAAGCAATGCAAGTTAAATATATCTAAAGCTGCAAATGTAAAGGGTTGTTTTGCACCTTTTACTTATTTAAATTATTACACTGTCCACATACTGCCAGATTGATTTAATCCCCCTTTAAGCGTACTGTAAGGGAAAGTCAAAACTGATAGATCGTTAAAAATGCTTACTTTAAAACTTCAAAGTTCTGCATCTCGTCGTTCCAATAATACTTTGTGCTATGGAAGGTAAAATAGCGAATCTGAGGGAAATAAAATAGGGCAGGGACAGAGGGAAGAAGCAAAGTTGATTAGACTTTTTTTTTTTTAAACATGTCAGCCTTACTGTATTGTTGTCCCTTAAAGGCAGGAAACAAAGTCAATTCAAAAGGAAGAACAAAAATAAGAGATAATAACAGATGACGAGTGAAACACTTTGACAACTTGCACCATATAAAATGCCAATTACGTAAATTTGAATAAATGGATCAGTGGAGGAAATTACATTATATTTGTACTGCGGTTGTTTATTGTGAGGGTAAGGTTTAACATAAGGAATGTGGTCAATGAAAAGTACTGCCAAGGGGAGCAAGGCATGTGTCTAAGACAAAGAAAAAGGGCTGAGGGAGTGTTAGGTTTTAAATGTTTTGATATACCACTATCATAACGTAAATTATAGAAAAATAGAGTCAAATTACACATTTAAAAATGGCAACCCATCTACTAACTTTCAAACACATCCACTGATAGGTGGTTGCCAGTCTCACAGCTAGTTTAGGGTTGCCATCAATGGTGTGTATGTGTGTGTGTGTGTGTGTGTGTAAATCCAGTATATTGTGGAGAGGGGCGCCTACCTGTGTGGGCTGGTATTCGGCATATCTTCTGATGAGCTCCTGAGCGGTGCTGCCATCGGAGGGGTGAGGGGTATGTCCGTTGGCCAGAGGGGAAGAGGCAAGGGAGGAGAAGGGGCAGGAGGGAGAGGAAGGGGAGGAGGGGGAGGTGGTCTGGGTCTCCAGGCTGTGGAAGGGGTTGCTCCCCGGGGCCAGCATCACTCGAACCCTGGCCAGGAACCAGCGCCGGAACTCATCCTAGCCAAACAAATACAAACAAAGTTGCAGTGCTAGACTTTTAAGGGCCTTCAGTCATTAACTCCACAACTGCCCCTCCATTCCTAACTACATATCAACATTTATTCTGCTGTCTTTAGTACATTTCTTTCAGGACAACTGGTCTGTTGTCAAATATTTATAGCATACAGCCCTAATGTATCCACCTTAAAATCCTGAGCTGCATTTGGTGCTTGGCAGGTGTTTCAGACCATCTTACCTTAACCAAACTCTTATTCCTAAACAAGCCTCTTTAAGAAGTGGCTAAATGTTTACAGTTGAAGGTTGACCCTAACACGGTCAAGGATGAATGCAAACACATGCAGACGAGCATGAGACCAACACAGAGAGAAAGAAATGCGGACACACACAAACATACACGTGAATGTTACGGACACATTGTTGGACACATGGTAAATTATCTGTACATTCCTGCTGGTGTGACTGTCTGTATGAATCAGTCAGTCTCAATGTATTTACTGTGCTACTACAATACATCAGTTGTATTCGCTCACAGCTTTAAAACCACATGAGCCTGATGTAACAAGCTCATTTTTAACAAACAATTTAAATAGTTTAAATGTAAAACCTCAGCTTAGCTTACTACAAGGGCTTCAAAATCCTAATTGTTTAGTCTATAAAATGTTCAAAAAATGTGGGGGGAAAAAAAACATTCACTGAAACCACTGAGTATTTAGCATTTTTAACAAAATTAAAATTAAAAATTAAATGATTAATCAAATACCCAAGCAGTTTAATTTTCTGTTGATCGACTAATTAATAAATAATTGCAGCTCTACTTGCAACCTACCGTGGAGCGCATCAATACCACTTCGGCATCACGGGCTGTGGTACGGGTGCAGGTGGATTTGACGCACCACTCTGGCATCCAGTAGAGCAGCAGGAGGAGGAAGCCCCCTGTACACAGCACCCCGAGGCCCACCAGGGCCAGCCGCCAACGACACAGACGGTAGCCCTGCAGCTCCTAAAAGGTGGAGGGAGAAAAGAGGGTGCAGTCTGATTAGTCGGAAAGCACAAATACCGACACTGGCACTGATGTAAAATGAAAAAATAGACATACCATCTCCTCCTCTTCCCCTTTGTTGAGGACCTTCAGGTCTTCCTTCTCCATGCTGCAGAACAGTTTGCCAAGCCCTTCCCTTAGTCACTGCAAACACAACAGACAAAATGTCAGGGAGAACAGTGTGGGAAAACGTTTCAGCTCCACAACAGCCTATCAAAAAAGTGGCTCGACACCAGAGGGTCAGTCACCCCAGGCAGGGTCACAAGATGCTTTCTAGGGATATGATTCAAAAGAGCATTGTATGGAAAATGCTGTGTATTTGTCATGAACACTTAACATTTTTGTTAGCTTTCTCTATTATACAATGATGCAAAATAGCCTGAAAAGAAAAAAAACCCATATCATCACCATTCACTGTTTTTATTTTATGCAGTTAACTCATGCATGCACTACAAATAACTTCATAGTTGAGGTTTATAAACTGAAAGAATTGGGAACCATTACTGTGCAGCCAATTACTATGTAATCTGGTATCAAAATCTAGTGGTACAGTGCTGGGGGGGAAAGGAAAGGAGTGACTTGGGTGGCACTGGTAACCCTTGAAATCGGATTAGCCAGCCTTGCTTCCACCCCAAACACATGAAACGGGTTATTTAAGACTAACACGCTAAAATCTAAGACTGCATTATTTTAAGTAACTAAAGCAACTTCTCTGAATGAAGAAGAAAGACACCACCATCTCTGAGCAAACTGCTTAAATGTGCTTATTCCAGGATACTGAACAATTAACAATCATTCGTCATTTACTCATAATCTCAATATTAAGACATTTGTTTTGGAATAAATTGCATTGACTTGATACTTTACTAACATACCTGCATTTGGAAGAGAGATCAGTTTTTTTGTGTTTGGGGTAACATAGTGACTAAACTGTAATGGATGAAAAAAGGTTTTTGTTGCTGCACAACACGTTTCTACCAACGAGGACTGATCCCCCCCTCTCCCCAAGAAGAGAAAGGGGGAGAAGGGCCTGAACGGGAGTGAGACAGGTGAGACTTTCTAGGACTAGATTATCATACAGTCCTCTTACACATAACATTTCTATAATGCGGACCTACTGATTTGCATTAAACCCACGTTTGACGTTTGAAAGTTTCACCCTCAAAACTTCAATATGTTGAGTGGTGTCATTCAGTATATTAGCTGTGGCGACCCTTGCTGTTGCCTGTTCAGCAGTGTTCTTATAATTCACCTCACTGTTGACAGGTTGGTCATCCGTGCCTTCTGGTAACACCTGGGCCCAGCGTTCCCAGCCTATACAGTCCAGGCCCTCTTTTTTTCTCTCTCTCTCTCTTATGTGAAGGTGTTCCTCATTGGTTCCCTTTGGTTTATTTTATGCATTTTAAAACAGTCACACACAATTCTTACCCCCAGTGCACCCTACACTGATGTTTTGTTATGTTTACAGTTACTTTTGTTTAATAAATGACTTACTATCTTATCTTTGAAATGGTGCATCTCCAACTTTTTCATTGCGTGCAACTGACAGCAAAGATATAGGACTGTCTGAGCAGGAGCCTTTTTTTTGCACATCGATGTATTTGACAATATTACAATATCCAAAATATGATATTTTGAGTTTTGTCTAATCCATTTATAGATGTTTCTCAGCAGTAAACAGTATATAACAAATCACAGGCAGTCTTTTATATAAAACAATAACAACCGAAGTCAGCTCAACAACAATACTGCTAAATTGATCTGGTTGTTAAAATGTCCGGTAAAGACAATTTGTTTGTGCTGTTTATAAGAGCATTGGCTCAGTGAGTGAAATGCAACCTTATTTGAGCTGTTAATATTAGTCAGTAGGCAGGGATCAAAATGTTTGTCTTAACTCTGGTAAAAACCTGTTTAACCCAAATGTGAACTCTTAACTGTCTGTGGGTAAAGAGCTATAATAAAGGACGATATTAGCGTCTGTGGATACAAAGTGCAGGACGTCTAACAGAGGTCAGTAGTTCATTGAGCTACAAGAATGCACAGCTCTTCCCGGACAGCTGCTATACCTCACAACACCTGAGATTATCTCTTAAGAGTGTCACACACCCACACACTGACCAGCTGAGTCATCAGATTTGTGTGTTACCCAATATCAAGTTCATCCCCATTTCCTCCTCTCAGTTGTCCCAGAGGACTAACCAGCTGCCAAGGAAGGCATGCTGTCACTTTATGTGTGTGTATGTGTGTGTGTGTGTGATTGGTGCATTGATATTGACTAAGAGGGGCACCTAGGTCAAAAGATGAACAGGTGCTTGGAAATATGAGTTAGGCTGCAGACAATCTGTCTGTCGACGTCAACTACAGCAGGGTTATTTGCCTTTCTGTTGCTCATGTATTGTATTGAGTATTGAGAGAAAAACAGTGAAGCTGGATGTGTGTAAAGTCAAACTGAGTAAGTAGTATGACAGAGAGGTTAATTAGGCTACTGGCTTCAAGGTCTGTAGCTGGTAATCAATTGGTCAATCAGGCACACTCAGGACGTCACTGGGGCCTCTTGGGGAACTGAAAACAGACATGCCTTTGGCAGAGCAAGTTTTTACATCAAATGTAAAGGGGACACAAAACAGAAAGACCACACACACAAAGAAAAAAATATTCAAAAACCACACGAAGTGACGCAAACGCAGGGAAAGTTTGAACACTATGAAACCAGCTGTCACTGGCGCACTGGCATGGTGTGTCAGGGCACGGTGCCCACAGGGCCACCAAGCTATTGCCCCCACCACCCTACAACGCCCACTGATCCTGTATTTATTGCCCCCCACACTCCGATTTTATCTGCCAGCTGCACCCGGGTGGACTTTTTCTCTGGCATACAGCGGGATATTTTGCTTAGGACCAAGCCCTTCCTACTATTTTACAATAGCAGCCCCCTGGCCGGCGCTAGGCTGTGGGTGCAGTGTAACAAGAACATTCCCTCCCAAATCTCTGCAAAGACTGGAAATACCGACACCAGTGCATCATGGACACACTCTTTTGCATGATTGCTGTCCGGGTATTTCTCACAGATAACACACCACTGAAAACAGCACCCAAAAAGGATTGAGAAGTATTAAGCCTATGCACTGGAACCATAACATAGTTGTTTATGATAAAATGATCTGTTGATAAGGCAGGGTTCCATAATTACAGGCTCCAAACAGACAACAGGCCAAAGTTAACTGGTGACTGAGAAGCAAGACATGTTAACTCTGTTTACGCCTTAAGTACCAATATATTACATGTTAACTCAGGCTGGAGACAAACTAAGTTATACTTTCATTCAGGTGCACTTGTGTTGTGTAGAGCAGGGATTGGGAACACTTTGGTGAAAAAACATAATTAATTCAAGCTCAGTTTCGAGTTGGTTGGGTTGTCCTACCTTGAGAGCCAGGGACACGATGCCCCAGGCGGTCCTCCTCCCCGCAATTAGCTTGCTCTCTCACCACACCAACCTGGAACCCTGGGGGGGTAAAGAAAAATAAATGCACATTACAAATACAGCTTTCCAGCACCTCAGGTCTTTCCACTAAATTGACTATGATGAACAGCAGGTTAAATGGGAAAGAGTTTTTACAAAACAGTAACATATCTTCCCAAGGAAAAAACAATAATGGTTAATGTGTATTGAGTTGCAGCAGAAGAATTTGTGTAAAAGCACATACCAAGGTGTTCACTGGTGTACATTTTCACTAGATGGGACCCTCTTTTAAGTAAGGATGCAACAAGATAATGGAAACGTGTTTTATACTTCCCCTGAAACACCAATGATGAAAATCTGTTCAACGTAAGTTGCCCATGGCAACCACATTTGGACCACTGATGGTGATTTAATTTGGTCTGATCCCCCCTACTTGAAACAACTTTTTTTTTAATCCTTTTTAAAAAAAGAAAAAGAGAAATTAAATGGGTTTTGTTTGAAGCGCCGTTTGAAGTAAACAGCACAATGCAAAACTAAGTAACTAGTTCCAACAGTGAGTGAAGACCCTATGTACTGCAGGTATCAACATGATAAGCATTGCATGAGGTTATGAGAAAACAATCATGACGTCATGCTGAGGTTGCAGTATATGAAAGAACTGTCAGATGACTGCTGCTGACTCCAATCCAGTCATGAGGCTTGGTGTTCCTGTCCCGGCCCAATGCTAATGACTTAATATAATAAATCTCCCACCCAAGCTGCAACCTCTGTGTAAATGAAGCCAACATGGAAGTGCCAAAACTGCAGTTCCTTAAACGGCCACTTGCTGTGGCTACAGAAATGGGTCGATCTCCATAAGGCCCCAAATGAAAATGTCCAACTTTCCATATATTCCATATATTTCCATATAACTCACCAGTTTAAATTATATCTAGGCTTAAAGTTATGCATAATTAAGGGAAGGTGGGCGCCGTCACAGGCAGCTGTTTTCAGTAAGTAGGCTTCATTCAACCAGCCTCAGCTCTACCCACGCAGTATGTCACGGCGGAGTCAAGAATGCCAAGATGGCGCCGGCCAGAGACACCACACTTTGAGCTTCTAAATGTCTCTTCAGAAATCACCTATGGGTAATTAAATGGAGACCACATCCATTTTTAATTACAGATGCTCCCACAGCTGGCTGTTTCCCACTAAAAAACAGTAGCAAAACAAACAAACAAAAACCTGCACAGCAACAACAGAGTTATGCCTCCTGTTGTGAATATAAGGATGACAGCAGAAACCAGTGTTTTCACTGGAGAACACACGACCCTGGTAGGGCCTCTAAGAGCCAGCATGACTTCAGAGATATTTATAGATTTCTCCAGCCCAGCCTAAAGCCACATTGTTGTCTCTGATTTGATTAGTCTGCTATTGTATTAATAAGCAAAAGCTGGCTTGGGAAAAAAACAAATGAGGAAGCTGTTGACTTTTTTTTCAAACTACAAGATTAAACATGACGATCATCAGTGTTCCTGGAAAGAAACTTTATGATGTCTAAAAAGAAATCCAGTGAGTATGTTTATCAAACCACAACAGGTCGAAACATGCACAGCTATTTGAGTCCAAAAGAACATCTGGTTCTACAATCAAACATAGCTTTTATACCACCCATTGGCATGTGTATTATGTGGTGATAATATAGAGACAAAATTAATTCATTTACTTGACTTGTGCCATGAGCTCTCTGACTCTCCAATTCATCTGCTGCTTTCAACCGACGCTGATTTACATTAGCAAATGGACCTTTAACAAACATGTCATACACAGAAGAAATGCTTGTACAACTGTGGGACTAAGGCTACAACCCAAAGATATTTTCTTCATTGTTTAATCTGGTGATTATTTTCTCAATGTCCATCACAATATCTCTATGGCATCTGAAATGCTGGATCCAGAAAATGTTTGACAATTTTAGCATAATCTGACAGTCTTGCTTCCGGTTCTGTACATGCATGGTAGGAGGAATAACAAAGTGTCTCAATATCATAATTTCATAATTATTATCTGTACAGAGTTAAGATCACTTGAGTCACTTTGAGTGAAATTGTGCCATTTGCAGAAGGTCAGACACAACATATTTCACAAGAACCTGAGCATGAGCAATGCAAAAGTACACAAATAAATAACTCCAGGACAGCCAAGACCAGACATACTCTCTTTTCCCTTTCTGTCCTGTTCTTCAACACACAGACAAAAAAGGAAAAAGTGAACAATGAGCCATGACCTAATGACAGAAGTGTATAATTCGTGGAAGCATTTGGAGGAAAAAGTGTTTTGTTGCCATCATGAACTGCACTCAATGTGCTTTCTTTATCACTTCCCCTCCTACTCATGGGGTATAATAGCCAAGCTTTGTTCCCCATCATGGGCCAATCAAGCTGTTTATCACTGTGGCCACCGGCCTCACTGAAAATCTATGACCACCTGCCCTTCCACTGCTGTCTGAACAGCTAAAAACTCTTCCTCGGCCACTTTTAACAAATAACTTAACACTTCCCTCTTAACAACTTGCCACGGGAGAAAATGTTTTCTATTTTATATTACGTTGCATACAAACCTGTAGGATGTGGCATTAACCACTTCCAGTTTCATAATTAGTGAGAAAAGGCAAACAGGGCAGATACACAGTTTATGGATAGTTTCCTGCATCTCAAAAGTTAAACTCTGTTCAACCTTTTTTGAAATATGCATCACCTAGTCAAACTCACCTATCGATGCACCCAAACATCCACACCTCTAATCCAGAGAATCGTCCTTAAAATGCATCAGATATTGTGTATGTTTTGAGATGGCATACACACGCACTTTAGATCACTACCTAGTGACAAGGATTGCTGACATTACAGGCTATACTATGATTAATGGGGAAACATGGGATCAAGAGAGTGGAGGAGGACAAAAAGAGATCCCCAAGGACTGAGTCTGTATGTGAGCTCCAATCGTGTGAAAAACCTATGAGGACAAAAATGGAGGGAAAGGGCTGGGGAAAAAAACAATAATCCTACAGATCAAAAGTGCGCTGAGTTTTAAGTCAAACCACATGCTCTTGGATTAACTGACTGGCATTTCTTGACAGTCTATGAAAAACTGCCACTGTGCAAGAGATCAAAACACATTTTTACTTCATTGAGCAGCTTATTGGTACATAATGACCCTGGATTAGAAATGCTTCTATATGGATGTAACAGATTAGGGCTGCAAATAACGATTATTTTCAATCTCAATTAATCTGTCAATTTATCATATTCTCTAGGGCTGCAGCTATCACTCATCTTAGTAATCAAGTATTCTACTGATTATTCCATCAATTCATTTAGTTATTTTTTTGCTTTTAATTATTATTATTATTAAAGAGCAATTTTAAATATACAAAAAGAGAAAAAAACAACAAATAAACTAATTGGTTTCAGTGTTTGCTCTAGAAGAAGAAGAAGAAGGGGGAAAAGGCTTCTGTTGTAACCCCACCGTACTATATACACCGTGCAATATTTTTCTTTCTCCATCTCTGGTTAGCACAGCCACATGACTGGACCTGTGTGTTACAGTCCGAGGCTTCCCCTTTAAGAAAGGTGGAGTCCAGCAGGTTTGTTGTCAGAGTATTTCCTGGAGTGTGAGGGGTTTGCATTCATTTAGTCAGCCATAAAGTGTGTAGATAAGCTCAGGTTGCAGTATAATAGTTACTAAGAGGCCGTGTCTTGCGTTTGCTGTCATATGTAATAAATAAAAAGCCCCAGTTTATCTAACGTTACCACAACGCCTTCTTGGAGTCTTCCCAGCAATGTTATCAGACTGTGAACAACTCAGTCAGCTAGTTTCTCTGGCCTGTCTCTTCTCTTTGGCCTTCACTTTTTTCTCTCTCCATCATCTCTCCAACATCCTCAAGAGAGACAGACAGCTTATTCTCATAGAGGACTAAAGAAACACAAAAACATTTAAGAGTTCAAAGTTTGTTTACTTCAAATTAAGTGTCCTATCTGTAGTAGGGAAAACCAAGATGAAAGATACAAATGATTTATTGCAATCACACAATAGGTGAATAAGTGAGGGAAATAAATATAATTCAGTGTCCTCCGTGCCTGATCTCAATCAAACATGGCCCTGAGATATCTCATGTTCCTGTGTAGCCCGATACTTGAGACGCTTTCAGGCAGAGGATACCTTTTCGCTGCTAGTGCCGAAACTGGCAAACAGTGGGGTACTGTGATATCATGCTACAAGCTAATAGAACAAATACGAGTCTTCAAAGTTATTTTCAAAGCAAAAGTATGCTTTTGAGGGTTTTTTTGATGCATCAGATTCATATAAGCATATAGAGCATAAGGGTGAGATTTTAGAAGTCTCATACTGTTTTGATACTAGAAAAAAATAACACTGAGACTCTTCAACAAGTGTTTAGCTGCGTCACTGCTGTAATGCCAGATGGATCAGTGCTGTCAAAGGCAACTGTGGTGTCATCGGTTTTGCAGTTTTTTTTCAAGGTGTTTGAAAGAGTAATGTAAAAATGCAGCTCCATGATCATCATCAGGAGTACCATTTTAAGGAGGGACCCGTCCAGAGCGCCGTCATCAGCTGTCTGTCAAAGACTGCCTCTGACAGCAATTCAACATGCTGAATCGTCCAAACAGCTGCTGATAAGGGCGAGTTACAGCCAGCGGAGTGGGACACCTCACAAAACCTGTGAACGACTTCTGTACATGTCCCGACAGCACCTGACAACACACGCCAACATCTTTAGGGATGTAGTCAAACTGTTCTTGCACAAGGACTGCGGACTGAAAAGAGACAGTACGAGATTTAAAGACAAAATCTGGCTGTGCAAAGCCTTATCAGTAAAGTCTTCAAATCAAATGATAAAAAAACAAATATGTGAGATGCTAGATAGTACTGACTTACACTACGATTTCAATCAGTTAGGGAATTTCGATCAGCAATGAACTCAGTCCATCTGCATTCTCAGGTTTGCGTTACGGTGTCAGATTTCACAGTTGTTTCTATTTTCATTTGAAGTGTTTCATTTCACTTCCATTGATGCGGGCCCGTAGTTTGTCCTGGTCTTGTTGGAGGCAAACCGCTATATCGGCACTAGAAAGATGTGTTTCTCTGTCACGCTGCTCTGGGGCTCCCGCACCAAACAGTGCTGGGCTGCTGAGAGGACTTTTACCATGTCAGGATATTTCTCATCTCCACTCTGAATCAACACTGGCAGGCCTTCCATCACAGGCTGCTGTCTTAAAGCTCACCTGTGAAAAGTCCTGAGGCATTGGCTCAAAGGTCTGTGGAACATTGGCGCCTCGCTTCTTAAACGGAGACTACACTGCTTCCAAATCCAGTTTGGACAAGACCTTAAGCTCTCTCACAGAGAGGAACAAAGTTCAAAGGTGAAAGGCAAGTTCAATTCCTTAACTCTGGGAATCCAGAGTTAAGGAATTGATGAATTGATCATGGACTAAGCAAGGTAAACTCTCTATGGTGCTCACATGACGCCAGATACTGTGAAAAGGTTGTTCTTTTTAACAATTAAACTCATCCAGAAGCTTCCACAAGTCAAACTTTCTACATTTGTCTAAGTATAAAGCAAGCAAAGCACAAACACAGACTGCTACCTGGTCCCAGGACAGGCCTTATCAGACTTAGTGGACAAAGTAACCATAATAAAAAGCAGACGGACACAGATCTTGAAACAGTCTGGCTAATCTCTTATTAGTAGACTTAATACCAACAGAAGAAGGAGCCACTTAAAGTACATGGTAGAGCTGCAATGATTAGTCAATTAATCAATTAGCTGATTAACAGAAAAATAATCAGCAACTATTCTGTTAATCATTCAAGTCATTTTTCAAGCAAAAAACCCCAAAAAACTAACCATGTGAAGCTAAAAAGACATACACTTGTGTCTCACGCCAATTACCAATCCCAACTTTTTTCTACAAATCAAGTCTATATGTTTTTCTTTTGCATGCCTAATTAAGCGTAATCCAATAGGCACACATTCAAATCACTATTTCTCTCAGGCTGCTGTTTTATCATGAGCTCTAATCTTTCAAAATAGGTATATGAAGCTTTGGCAGACAACAAATGAAACAAATGAATACATCAAAATTAATTAAATACGAGATTAACAAAATTGTCATTGATTTTTCTATTAAGTTTCAACTGTTTTCAACTCGCTCTAGTTTTAACTGAAGCTTTCAAAAAAGACACCAGTCAGTGAAAGCTGAAATTCCCCGGATAGTCTCCTTAAACAAATTGTGAAATGAGAAGACTTGTTGACTCACCAGTTGGGTATCTCTCCGACTGCTGTGCATACAAGTCTTGAATTTATCACAAATGTTGCTAAATTATGATAAGAAAATGACTCATTTTACCACTAAAACACAAAATGCGTCACTGGGGCATTGTATTCAGGCAGTGGTTCCAGCTCATCCCGATATTTTGTAACACGAGGGTTAAAATAATATAGAAAAGTCTGCATATCACCTCTGAATCCTACATTGTGTGGTTGAAGGACAGGTGTGAGCGGGAAACTTTTGTTCACATGGACTGTAGGAACAACAACAGACCACTGTGTATGTGGTTAGCACTCCTCTTAACTCAAAGTTCACATTCTCATTAAAGTCACACAAACTAATTATCTCCTAAGCCTCACCGTGGCAGCATAGAAGACTCCCAGTGTCTCTGTTAATGTATAAACTGAAAAGTGAATAGACAATGAATATTGCTCTGTATGATTTCTATTTGTGCGACACAATTAAACTTGAAATCAATCAGGATATTTTGAAATTTGACCTGGTATGGCTAAATAAAGCCCAATCCCTTTCTGATCCTTTGTTTACTGAAACCTTCTGTGGACTGGGTATGCCAACTATGATGTGGCACAAATACCAGTAAATAAATAGCAACCAGAAGGCAAAATGAATGACATCTACGCTGACAGCGCGCAGCCACAAGCAATACGAGCACAACTATTCGAAGCCTCTTTACTATCCAAGTGAAAATAAATCTCCACAGATGTATCTAAATCAACAACAAATATAATACACTAGTATTCACAATAGCATTCATTCCCTTTTCCCTGACACAATTAAAAAGTTGTGTAAAGTTGAATGAGCATCCGTGTATAATTAAGGTGTGACGAGTGATTTTGGACACCTGTGACTGGTATGTCAACAGAGCTTTTTCACAGCAGCCTGACACAAAACAGTAGGGTAAACACAGGTGTTACCAATGATAGTAATGAAGTTTCCATTCCACTCAGTGTAGCAGAGCTTTTCCAGTGGCCCAACATGAACATTAGCAGCACCCTGACTCCGTTTGATCGGAGCGAAGAGAGAACAAAGCCTCATGAAGACGAAGCAATATTACAAACACATCTGCAACAAGGTTGTATAGTACCACTTAACAGAAGAACACAAAAAAGGCACTGTGCAATATTCCATTCGGCCGTCGCATTTTGTTAACATTGGCCTTTTCGTACTTGAGTTGACATTCAAAGACCCTCAAACATTGTGTGTCGGTGTGTAAGAAGACCACTTGTGAGGGAGTCCACAAAGAGGCCTAGGGCACCTCTGATGGAGCGACAGGAAGGAGCCACTGGATCAGAGACAGTGTGCATACAACAGCTCCTACCCTGGTGCTTCACCAGTCCCAGCTTTAGGGTAGATAGTCAAAGATACAGGAACAGTTGAAAATAACTCACATGATATCTCATTTCCCAGAAGGCCCGTGGGAGATTCTGAAATAAAGTGTAGCGGTAAAGTCAGAGTCCAGACCTCAATTAAATTGAGAAATTGTGAAGGCATGTTCACTCATGCCCCCCCTGCAATTTGACACTGAAAGTGAAGCCAAGATGTGCAAAAACTTGTACACAAGACAAAAGGTGGCTCTACTAAATACTAAAACGTGCAATCAATCGGTTTCTGTTTTAAAGGAAGGATTTGGTTCAATCAAATTAATATTTCTTTATCCTCAATTAACTGAATTAATTTCCTCAAATTGTGAGCATTAGGTTACTGTAGCAGCAGGAACACAAGGTACAGGTTACTGTGACTAGACCGTTCAGTCGGGGGTAAGCCAGTCACTCGCTGATTGAAAAACTTTCTCATACTGTCTATTGGTGCTACGCTGGGCATTGTTTCACCAATTACTGTTACTCTTGTTGATGGCTAGTTTCTACATGCATTCACAAAGCACATAACAAAGGCTGAAAGTCAATAACAACAAATAGGGTGCTTGGGTTTCATTCGTGTATAATAACCTGAAAACATTTCCACTACCTTAGAATGAGATGGTTTAATCTACAGAAACAGAGGTTCCTCTTCCACAGAGGCCGCCATGTTGAACTATCATGTTTCTACAGCAGCACAGAACCGACAAACCAAACACATCTTTTGCGAGTTTCGTGGCCAACGTAGTTTCTCCAACACACTTGGAAAGCTGAGCTGTAGTCAAATAGTTGCAATCTGCAACTTCTCCGCTAGATGCCACTGAATCCTTCACACTGGTCCTTTAAGAATTAAATAATTGTAAGAATGAATGACAGCCAGCCAACACCTGACTCCACAGTAAACAGGTCCAGCTTATTACCCCCCACTTCTATGTCAGTTTCTCAGTATATAGTCCAATTTTAGAAACTCCAATTTGTTTGTAACATTTCATTTATGTTGTATTGGTGTCTTACATGCAGTTAAAAAGCCTTGGCGCAGGGAGAAAACACATTTTGTCTGCAGAGGACATGTGCTTCTCCTCCACTTCCAACTCCATCCTAGAGGATACACTGGTTATATTCATGCTCATGAATTAAATGGACAGTAGCAAAGCAGCTAATAACATCCAGGTGATTTAATGTTGTACAACAACCACACAAAGGCATAGTCTTTATACGTGAATAAGACATTTGTTACGTAAGGTATGTCAATTAAATGTTCTCATTCAACTCAAGTTCTGGCCGCTGGTTTTAATGCCTGTATGATGATATTCAGAGTTATTGGTGTCTTCATTAACCTGAGCTTGACTTGAAATCCCACTGAAATAGCAAAACCCACAGTTCTTCCTCCTGTGAGGCAGACCACAGGAGACCCGACCACAGTGACAGGTGTTTTAAGAGCAATGAGGGAAAAGCTAACAGTGTGTTGCCTGAACACAGTTACAGCCTTTAACCATGGCATTCTTCACTGAAATGAAATGACTACCTACACTAAATGAAAAGTAACTCCAATGGTTGGTAGCAACCAGCCCCAACGACAGAAAAGTAAGTCTTAAGCCAATTATGGACCACAGATCTTCAATCTTAAAGCTCTCCATCGTGATATAGGTGGTGTTTTCGTTGGTTTAGGCTAGGTACATCGTTCACAAGCCTATATTAACGACATCCCTACATCTGCAAGCTATAAATCCCCAATTGCTGACCATGAATCATGGCTCCGAGCCCCAGGCAGAGCTTCATCTGGGAATACGGGAAGACGTCGCTGGATGTCGGAGGCTAGCTGGCTAACGTTAGCAAAGCCTCATTGTTAGCCAGCTAATTGACCAGCAGCTTCACAGCAACGTCCATGTGTCTTTCACTGGTGATCACACTTTCGGTTTCAGGTCCGGTTGAAGCGAAACGATGGTTGAAAAGCATCCCCGGTTTTTCCTCGCCACACACACACACACACACACCCATCAGAGAGCTAACGTTAGCTCTCGCCGCGCTAGGTAGCAACTGACACATGGGTGATGATGACAGCGATGTTAGAGCAACATATTGGAGAATAACACTCACCCAGAACCACCGGGACACTCTGAAGATCACCTTCGAGTCATAGTGGGACGAGAGTAGCTGTTATCTGAAGGAAAACGTCGTTGAGGAGAAAGAAGGACTAAGTTTGAGAGGAAAATGTTGTCGCAGCAGAGGGGCAGGAGTGTGTGTGTGCTGTGTTGACAGCTCAGTGGGACAGACTGAGTACTACAGCGGTAGTGAACTGGCCTGAACTGGCTGTCTGACGGCAGGAAGTGACATCACAGGAGCCCCCCCCCCTCCTCACTATGAAGTAAATATTATTATTGTTGGTATTATTATTATTCCAGGGCTTGGGGAGTAACGGATTACAATCAGGATGCATAAAAATATGTAATATAAGAGAAATTGTTTTTTTTTTTTAAGCAGGATTGTAATTTTAAAATATATATATTTTCTTTTAAAAATACACATGTATGATGATAAAAATCTCTCTTTTCTAAAGGTTACGTTGTTCTTATTTTTTTTTTATCCAGTGAATGCAATGCGCTTCCGTATCTTCTACACCGGCATCAATACTTCAGATTGACATTTCTTTTCTCTGTGTGTTTTTATTCACATTTTTGGTGTTGAGGTAACGCAAAAGTAACGGAAAGTAATAAAGTAACATTACTTTAATATTGCGATTCATGGATACTGATAGGTAAGTAGTAATTGTATTGGATTACATTTTTAAAGTGACCCTCCCAACCCTGTTATTAATACAGCCATAAAGGGCTCACTCACTCTCATGTGTGGCAGCTTTGAATGACCATAAAATGGCACATGATGGTGAGGTCATAATAATGATCCATACTTGGTTATACCTCAGTGTGACGCAGGGACAAAAATAGTACATTATAAGGAAGTACTGGTTAAGAAAGTGGTCATTTCATGACTGGATTATGACATAGGCTAAGCAGTTAACATCTCTGTTACACACACCATTAAAGCACAATATCAAAGCTTCCAATTGGTAGGCTACTGTCTTGTAGAGGGACCCTGAGTCTAAAACCTAATTTAATTTTAGTTTTATTATTTTAATTAATATTGTCACATGTTGCCCTGGGGCCCACTAAAAGGTAATCCAGCCATGGTCATTAAATACTTTTACAAACATCTAAGTGCACCCTTAAGTGCTAGATCATAAAACTCGTACAGAGTAAACCAAAGAGGTCAAAATCGAAGTATCAGAGGGAACAAAATATCCCCAACAATTAGTCCATAGTGTGAGTGGGGTCATCCCTATGTTCTTATAACTTCCTGTGTGACGCTCGGTCGTTGCTCGATTGATGTTTCCCTTTTGGGGCTTTTTCTTTCGTCATACTGTTCTCTTTTCTTTCTTTCTTCCTAATGTTCCCCCCCGGGTCCTATGTTACTTCTCCGCTAAGGTTAGGGTTAGGGTTCCGTCTTCCCCGGTCCCATACAAAGCGGGGAACATAGGACCCGGGGAACATAGGTACACTCCCCTGTGAGTTAAGCTTCAGGAACACTAGATCCTACATTTCCCATAATGCAGGGATATTTCTTTATACTTTAAAGGTTTTATTATACAACTGTTTTCCCTCTGACTGTTACAAGGAAGCTGATCTTTATGTGTCAAACCAGTGGGAGCCTCCCTTTAACAAAGTACTCAAGCAACTCACTCTTACATAATCTTTCAAAGTTATTCAGTAACATCTAAGTACTCATTAATCAGCGTTCAGTTTCTGATTTATTCCTTTCTCATTCACTGCAACTTTTCAGGAGTTTGTGTTACTGCTGAACAATTTCCCCTCTCCCTCCTCCCCTTTGGGCCAATATGCAAGGTGAACAAAATGTCCTTTAGGCTTAAATCATCAGGCATCTTACATGTCCTCTGCAGTGGAGCGATCAGTGACGTGCGGGCCAAGAAAAACAGAAAGGGCCTGTTCCCCACTGCTGCTTCAGATGTGCTAATCCATGCTCTTCATCACTTCTGCAAACAGAATTCCACCTTTTTATATGGGACACACAGTTTGTTTTCCTTTGGCCTGGTCTCAGAAGGGACAGAGATGAGGCCCAGAGATGAAGCAATGCTAGCTCAGCATTCATCATGACACCAGAGGGCATTAATGGAGTACAAACACATCACTTTTTTCTTTAGTTTATTGGATCTTTTAGGAAATACCGATGAAAAATATTTACTTTTGTATAATATATAACACCTGTTTCGATGGTGGTTTACAAAAACATAAATAGTAACGTTGAAGACACATATTTTGCAATATGAGCTCCAGTTCAACTGCCACTATGTTTGTAATGGTTTAACTTATTCAGCATCTCAGATTTCAGGCCTCTTTAGCAAGCTATACACATGGGATACATTCCTATCCATCAGCAACATTAGATTGGCTTAAGCAGCTGGAAGCATTGAATGGCTTTTCATTGTGGGCTAATTAGTAACATCAAAAACATATTAAAGACAAAACAGTTACATAAATAAATATATATGAAATGCTTACTGAATTAAACATGCCACAAGTATTTACACATCAGTAGGGTTTGATAATAGTATATACGGTATATATAAAATTACAATATTAATAGAGATTTAATGAAAAGACAAATATATACAGAATTACACATAAAATAATCAGATGTTAAAGCAACTCATTTCCAGTGTTATACAATACATGAGACCTAATTCTTTATACATGTTAAACAAAAACTTGTTAGTTTTTAAACACAGCTTACTCAGAATCATTAATTTAATCAAACCACAAATTGGTACAATAAGATAAGATCATCTCAATATGTTATTGGTAATATTAAATAAACAATATTATTGAATCATCTCCCAGTCCAACCGTGTCATGTTTACAGGCCAAACAAGGTGTTAAGTTACATTAATTTCTACTGCTGATATCAGCAATTGCTTTGTTCCACTTTATTAGTTGTTTCCCAGTCATTTGTCCCAGACAGCCATGTCACTTGAGGAAATGTAACAGGGAGGAGGGAAATGTGCTTTGTAACTTTGCTCTTATCTCTGTATTGTTCCGTTATCGCGTTCTTAGGAAGTCCCTTCAGTTAAAAATGCCCATGCTCTGTTGCTCCAGCATCATCGTCTAAAGCACGGAGCGGTCGGATGGACAGAGGTTGGAGGAATGATGGAGAGGACAGAGGAGCCCTGGTCGTCTAGTCTGGTGCTTATCTGCTCTGCCGGGCCTTTTCCCAGTCCAGCCCTGATAACCCGGGTGGACTAGCAAAATACAGGATATGACCCATTAACCTTGCAAAGCAGCAGGGGCGCAATATTGTTTTATTAGGGGAGGTTTTTTCTGTAAACCTTGATGAATGCAGTCAGGACAGGCGTTGTGACAGTAGCTGTAGTTGAATGTTAGAACCTGCACAATGCAACTAGAATGAAACATCCATCATTATTAACCATTTTCACCATCATTGTACCAACACTGGACAGTCGAGGTGATGAGAGAGAGGCAGTACAGGCAGTTACAGTGTAGTAAGACAACACAGATGACAGGTCAGTGTTTACACTCTTTTTTATTAACCCCCTCAAATCAGTGCACCAGATGTGTATCACATTATTAACTGAGAGCAAAATGCATTTGTCATTTTGCTATGCTTGGAGAGGAGACACTCTCTTGTAGTAGAGGGTGCTGTTGTTTTGCCGTTGCTTCACTCCACAGGGCAGCTGCCTCTTCAAAATCCCACTGAAAAATATGGACAAGTCAAGATAATATAGTGGAGAATCATAGACGATGGATTCTAATATGTCATATTATAGTATACTTACATAAGAGTCCTCACACTTGCTAATTAATCGTCCCTGTAGCTATTTGCTTATTGTATTATGTGTCTTGGGAGATTCAATTTAAAAATCATTGTTCTATAAAGAAGATTTTAAAACCTCAAGAGGGGTATGTTTTAGGGTGCTGCATGCTGGTGTTCATACCACCTCACTTGTATATATTCTAGCAGTTCTTCATCTTGCGTAATCATTTCTGGAGCACAGTTATATTTATTACTTTTTCTGAGGCCCTGATCCTTTTAGCTCATTTAGCACTGGTTATTTGTAATGTTATACTTTTTTGTGACTCATGTTGTGTAAGAGAATCAGCTACATACCAAGAATGCAAAAGGTTTTGACTCACGTACACAGAATAAAGTCCTGACCAGCAGGCATCACACAAGAGACCATAAACATCTCCCAAAATAGCAGAGGGTAACACTGGCCCCCTATAGACAAGTCAACCATTTTGCACTACTTCCTAGGCAGACAGACCCAACCCATTACTGGTCTTTAATCAAAGATCCTTTACAGCAGAACAATTGGGCCACAAGGCAAATCTTAAACAATTCCACCCCTCACTGTACCCCTCAGCCCCCCCCCCTCACCTCCACCTC